GCATCGTCATCATCATCATCAACATCATCATCACCATCAGCATCATCATCACAATCGTCAATATCACCATTACATTACCATCATCATCACCATCACCAGTATCACCACCACCATCATCATCATCATCATCATCATCATCATCATCATCATCATCATCATTACCATCATTACCATCACTATCACTACCACCATTACCATCAGCATCAACATCGCCAGCATAACCCGTGCTGATACTCGCTGCAACCGTCATCATTCTCATGATCGTTTTAGCGCAGCCCTCACACGTTGCGCGGCCCCATAGGGAGCTCCGCCGAAGGTTTCTGTGGCAGGGTCCACATGGTTACTCGAGTCCATTCCGGCGCACACCTCACACGTTCCATGGCCCCATGGGGAGTTCCATCGAAGGACCCAGTGGCAGGATACCCATGGTTATTCGGGCCCATTCTGGAACACCCCTCGCACATACGTTTCGTAGCCCCATAGAGCGCTCCGCCGAATGCTTTAGTGACAGGGTCCGCACCGTAACCTGGGTCCATTCTGGTACACCCCTCCATTCTATCACACTCCTCACACGTTTCGTGGCCCCACAGGGAGCTCCACCGAAGGCCAGTGGTAGGGTCGGCCTGGTTATTAATCGCTTCGCTCAGTCCGCCGGCCCATGATGAGGCACCGCGGTCGATTGGCCGAGAGGTCGTCGGCAGTGCGGAGCTGCAGGGGTCGGCGCATGTTTTTTTCTGAGGCGTTGAGTTCGGGATGGTGGTGTTGAAGCTGCCCTCGCGAAACAGCTTCGTGTCGACCTTCTGAGGTGTCGGGGGAATCGTTGTTTCCACAGGGCTTCTAGGTTGTGCCGCTCTGGGGTGTCCTTGGCGCCTTTGTGGGGGCTCGTTGCTCGTGGACGCTCATGCGGGGGCCATGAACAAAGTGTAACTGTTGCGACAGGTCTGCCCATCGACGTGAGAGGGAAAAGAGATAAAGAGAGAGAGAGTGTGCGTGGGCTTGGAAGGAAGGGAGCAAAAGGGGGTGGTCGCAGTGCAGAGGGGCGACAGTGCATTGGCGAGAAAAGGAGGGGGAAAGCGGAGCAGGAGGAGGAGGATAAGAAAAAGGAGGAGGCGGGGGAGGGAGTGTGCAGCTTCAGTGGGGGAAGGGGGAGGAGGCAAATGTACGAGGGGGGTGAAGCGGAGAGAGGAGCCAGAGGGGAGTGATGGAGCAGCAGGGGGGCGCAAGTAAGCGACTTCGCCGAGAGCTTCTTGCTGAGGGGAGCGCGGCTGGCCTCTTGGGGCTCCGTTGTGGAGCCTTTTGGGGTCTCTTTCGGGCCTCTTGGCGCCTCTTGGGGCCTCTTGGGGGCCTCTTGGGGCGTCCTGGAGGCCTCTTGGAGCGGAAGGCTCGGATTTTCGGTTCGTGGTCTCCATCTTGGGCCCCTCTTGGGGCCCTCTTGGGGCCCTCTTGGGGCCCTCTTGGGCGCCTTTTAGGCTGTCTTGGGGCCCTCTTGGGCGGTCTTGGGGCTCTTTGGGGGCCTCTTGGGCCGTCTTGGGGTGGTCTTGGGGGCCTCTTGGGCCGTCTGGGAGCGTCGGAAAGGCGAAAAGACGAGGAAGCCCAAAACCTTCAAAAACCGAAGGAAAATCATTGATTTTTGCCTCTTGGGGCTCTCTTGGGAAGGGTCGGGGCTCTCTTGGGACGTCTTGGAGGCCTCTTGGGCCGTCTTGACGCCGTGTTGGGCGTCTTGGGCCGATCGTTCGGTGATGCGGATCCCTCTTGGACTGTCTTGGGGGCCTCTTTTGGCCCTCTTGGCGCGCTCCGGGGGGCGTGGAAGGCCGCACCCAGGAGGGAAACCATCTCTGAGTAATAGTTCCCGGGCTTCGGTCGGGGTACACTTCGCCGGGGGACCCCCAGGGGCCGCCCCGCGCGCGCGAACTAGAATTATTGTTAACCAGTTACCGGAGATCTTAGCACGCCTCTGGCCCGTTGGGCCGGTGAATTTGGGTCCATTCTTGTACACCCCTCACACGCTTCGTGGTCCCATAGGGAGCTCCACCGAAAGCCTCTGTGGCAGGGTCCGCATGGTTACTCGGGCTCATCTCACACGTTTCGTGGCCCAATGGGGAGCTCCCTCGAAGGCTCCAGTGGCAGGGTCCGCATGGCTACTCGGGTCCATTCTGGTATACCCCTCACACGTTTCGTGGCCCCATAGAGAGCTCCGTCGAAGGCCTCTGTGGCAGGGTCCGCAGTGTTAATCGGGTCCAGTTTGGCACACCCCTCACACTCTTCGTGGCCCCCTAGGGAGCTGCACCGAAGGCCCCAGTGGCAGAGTCCCCATGGTTACTTTACGAAGCTAGGAGCCTGACGTCGCGAAGCTAGGCGTCGAGGAGTTCCTCCGCGCTGCGGAGCTTGAGTCGGCCATGAATTCGTGAACTCGCGGCGCAGTCGCGCCGCCCCCTGCATGGACTCCCACGCGCTGTGCTGGCGCCAATAAGATCGTTCCTCAAACTCTAGACGCTTCGCGTAATCCCACCAGCAGCGTACCCCACCAGCCCATCCCAAAGCGTCGCCCAGGCGAGTTGCTCTGATCAGGGGTATGAAAATCATGCAGTGTAATGAAGTATGGTCCTACCCCAAGAGGGGGAGGAGGTGGATGAGGATGAGGATGAGGAGGAGGAGGAGGAGGAGGAGGAGAAGGATGATGATGATGATGATGATGATGATGATGATGATGATGATGATGATGATGATGATGATGATGATGA